CTAACCATATACAAGTGAAACAATAGCTTATGTCGAGGTGTAGTAAGTGTGACAATTATATTGGAATGTGGTGTGATTCAGTAAGATATTGTAGGATATGAAATTGCATTGTGATAAGGTGTTGGTGAAGTACAAGTATGCAATCGTATGGAATGGAATGGTGTAGAGAGGATATGATGTGAATTAATTTATTATAAATATCCCCATTAAAAATATATTTGTGAGATTTTAACAGAAAACTGTGCATCAAATACACTCTAAAGCATTTAGTTTTACAATAACTCTCAAGCTATGAAAGCCACCAAACTATGGCTGCCATTTTGTCGCAAATATTAGATCTTAAAACCAGGCGACCTCCCATCTCCTTCAACAAAGCAAGACGATACCAATAACCCCACAATATGCCAAACATTAAAGAGCGCCTATTCAACCACGTCGTAACACAAAGTGTCATAACGTTTTCAAGTAAATGGGCTGGGTATGGTATAACAGTTTATAGCAAAGTATGCGTTAAATAAGCAACTCATATCACAATTGTATTTATACGGTGGCCTAGTGGTTAGGCTCTCGGACTCGCAACTGTAAGGTCGTGGGTTCGAATCTCGTCTGGGGCCGGACGTTGTGTCCTTGGGAAAGGCACTTTACACGAATTTTCCTCACTTCACCCAGGTGGGAATGGGTACCCGGCTATAGACAGCGAAAGATCTTGTCAGTTTTTTTGTGTTTGAGCGCTTAATCAGCTGCTTGCACTGTATGCTTCCCGGGGAGCTGAGAATGTTTCGGAGTGTTCTATATGGTCTGCTGCGGTAATAATATAGTGTAAAGCGAATAGAGCCTGCTGTTGGGCGGGGATATGCGCTATACAAATGCTATTTCTTCTTCTTCTTCTTCTTCTTATTCTTCTTCTTCTTCTTCTTCTTCTTATTATTATTATTATTATTATTATTATTATTATTATTATTATTATTATTATTATTGTTATTGTTATTGTTATTGTTATTATTATTATTATTATTATTATTACTATTATTATTATTATTATTATTATTATTATTATTATTATTATTATTATTATTATTATTATTATACATAAGGCGACCCGTCGAACTTCACTGCTGTCCACTATAATACTTGTAGAAGTTGGCTAAAGAAAAGGATTAAAGAAAAAGGTCAGTTGTATTTTATTAAAGGCGGGTCTTGAGACATATGTTATGATTCATTCTACTGAAATTGATCGAAAATGGTTTACGAATTAATTAAAATAATCCAGCGACTTTCTGGTGTTGGCTCTTCGATCCTGTTGCTAAAAGTTTCCACCACGGCATGTTTGTCTTGTTACTTTGATGACAAATACAGAGAAAATTATCTTGAGAGAGAGAGACAGACAGACAGACAGACAGACAGACAGACAGACAGACAGACAGACAGACAGAGTTAGAGAGGGAGATAGAGGGAAGAGGGAGTGTAGAAAAGGAGAGAGACAGACACAGAGGCTGACAGATAAACAGACAGACAGACAGACAGAATCAGAGACAGTGATAGAAAAGGAAAAAGAAGAGGGAGGGAGAGAGAAATACACATATATAGTTTAATAAATTTTGCTGTACGCCTGAATCAAAACAATCGCGCGAGTATCTTGGTCCCTGTCATTTAGGGACTACAGAGGCAGGGGCAGAGGCTTGACCCGGACAGGAAGAATGTGCTTAAAGTATCTCTGATCACGTGAGACGAGAGGTGACGTCATCTGTCTCCAGGGTAAGGAGTCTTATAACGATCACATGAGGTACCACCGTCTCTGACTTATCAGAAAAGATTATCCTTTCTCGAACGTGGGTCAAGTCGCTTGTTTGCAAGGGTCATGATTCCAAGGTCCTTGGGTTTTGTTTTTGGTTGTTTTTTTTTATAGTAGAATGTTTTACGGCGCGCAACTGCATAAGGTCATGTGAGCGCCAAAGGTCCTTGGTTCCATTCCTGTTCTAAAGGGTCATTCTCTTTATCCTCTATCTCTCTCTAAGCTAAAGTATAGTTCTCTTTCTCCAACTCCAACAATTTGTTCGCTTCATTGATGAAATATTGCACTCTCATAACACCCCCCGCCCACCCCCACTCGCCCCACTGACCCTCATTTTCATTGTTCTATCTCTAGTATCGGTTATATAAATTATACTAACATTATTAGAAGTCCACATGTGTATTTCTTTTGCCCCCCCCCCCCTCACTTGTTTCCCTTCAATCCTTCTCTTCCTTTGACCGTCTCTTCCTCTCTCTCTCTCTCTCTCTCTCTCTCTTTCTCTCTCTCTCTCTCGCTCTCTCTCTCTCTCTCTCTCTCTCTCTTTTACTCACTCTCTCTCAATATCTATATATATATATGATAAATTAGGGGAAAAAAATAAGAAGATGGATATAGGAGATAAGGAGGTTTATGTCCCTATATATAGGTTGTGTATGGGTGAAGGGAGGGGTAATATATCTTT